TTTGCAAGAATAAATTGCCTATAATAAGAAAATTAATTAAAATTATTTATCATTATTATTAATTAACCAAACAAAATACTAATTATCATCAATATTTTGCTTTCTTCTCTCTCGTGAACCAAACATCTAAATCACAAAAAAAAAAAAAAAAACTAATAAATCAGCCAACCGAACCACCTAAAAATTCCAATCAATCACCAAATCACAGTTAATTATCATCAATATTTTCCTTTACTTTCCTAGGAGCCAAATAGCCAACCCACCAAAAAACTCCAGCCATAAATTTTCCTTGGACTGAAAAAATGAAGAGAATGAGGGTGAAATATAGTATCACAAATTGCAACAACATGAATTCCATAAGGCAAATTCAAAGAAAAAGTTAGAAGAAATTAATTAAAATTGGGAAGTAGATCCACTAGGCAATCTCCAAAATTCATTAACAAGTTCTAATTTTTTAAAAATGAAATCTCAAACAATCAAAACTCACTTGATATTCTTGCAAAATTTGAAGATAACAAAGGCTAAAGGGGAATAGAACTCAAAAGCTCTCACCAAGCTTTCCTAAATCTATCCTAATTAGGATTGTTAAATCTACAGAGATGAAGCTTTGTCAGTATGGAATTCAAATCAAATGGGAAAGGAGGGAGTGCGAAGAAAAAGAGAAGGGGAAGGATGAAGAAGAGACACAAACAGATGAAGGAGGGGGCGCAAAAGAAGCAGGAGGTAAAAAAGACAGGGAAGGCTTATGTTGTTAGGGTTGTTTCGTTATAATTTTAATGGTATATAAAGGTGGTTAGTTATAAATATCTTAAGAGATTTGGGTAAAATGAGAAGAAAGTGGTATTTAATTAAAAGAGGTGGAAAGCTCCCACAAAAGCATCAATCTTATGCTTTTCAGTTGCTTTTATACGAGAAGCTCTAAGTTGCTTTTAAGAGCTTCTCAAACACTATACTTAAAATGATGTTTGGTTTAATTTGTACTTTTGAATTTAAAAAACTCTTTTTACAAACTACAGCAAACACACACTTATTCATTTGTTATTGTTACATAGAGAAACCATTTTGAACATCAGAACATCATGGTTACACTTCTTGCAAGCTTCAGATTGAAATTTATTTTGACATTTCTATATATTAATATTAAAACAACTCTAAAATACTGCAAACTCCTTCACTTCCAAAAACATTTATCGGTTGGAATAGAGAGCACGAATGCCATCGATATCATCCTTCGCGAGATCCCTTTTGATAGTTCCGCGAGCAATTGATCTGTACATGGTGGCGTTCTGATCCTGGCTATGTGCAAGCCCCAGGAGGTGTCCGATTTCATGCACCGCCACAGATTCCAAATCATATTCACTCACCCCTGGATTTGTACTCCATCTTTCATCTGCATCATAATGGAACCTTCCATCCTCGGGCGGAAAAGCATGAGCCAACGTATTCCCCGGTCCCTCAAACGGAGCTCCATCCCCATGATCGCGCCTGTGAAACCCTATCACGATATTAGGAGTCCTCCCCGGCTGTGCTTCCTCAAATGTAAACTGAGAGACCGCCTTCCATCTCTCGAATGCTTTTGAGCACACTGCCCTCAGGGTTTGCACATCAACCACCTGAATAAAAAATAAAAAAGACTAGAATTTGACATATAACTTTAATAATTTTTCTTAAATAAAATTAAATTTTGAATCTAATTAACTGAGTTAGTAATTACTAATTTCAAAAAATCAATAAATACCTGCACGCTGGAGTTGAAGGTATAGACAAGATGAGTCTTGGAAGCTGACCATTTTGTCCCTGTAAACGCATAATGAGCAACCAAGTGAAACCTAGACTTATGTCCATGCTTCCTGCCGGTGCCCTTGTTGTGGATGATATCCGGGAAACCGCATCTGGGAATCATCATTTCTTTTACAGTACTAGAGTCAAGGGTTCCTGTAACTTTGAGATGAGAGTATTCTTGGTATTTTTTAAGGGCAGTCTCCATCTGGTCGTCGAATTCTTCTGTGAGCTCCACGCCTTCTGGATAGTAGCCGTATTTGTTAAGGTATTGCTTGACTTGACCGAGTCCTTTGATGTTTGCACCTTTGTGGCATGCCTGGCATCCTTCTGCTTCCAAACTGTGGAGCAACTGGGAAAACTGTGATTCCTTAGGTTTGAGGGTTCTGGAGGCAACCTCGAAAGGGTGAAGTAGGACGAGAAGGAAAGCTCCTAGGAAAAGGAAGAGTTTACAAGCCATTGATGATATATGAAAGAGAAGAAGTGATTTGTTTGTAAAGACGATGGCTTCTGCCGCTTGCCTACTTGCATGGCTTTTTATAAGAGGGAGTGAGGTACCAACTTGCTCAATGCCTCAATGTAAATGTATGACAAATAGCAGATTGCTGCTTTTCTCTCTCACACTTGCGTCGAAAATCTTCGGTACTTTACTTGACCACACCACAATATCTCTTGCTTTCAATCAAGTCAAATAACGCACCGCGGCTTATTAATGTGCCATAGATTGTGAATGATATCTGTAAATTGAACACGGGTTTACATAGCAAGGATGGGTGGTTGCTTTTGAATTTCATCATGAATTTGGGTGAAGGGAAAATGTAAGATTCTGGTTAGACACATGGGTGGGAGGGATCTCATTGGCTAATGTTTTTCCAAGGGATAAAGATACATATACCCACCGGTTCAACACCGGTGAGTGCACATATTATAAAATAAGGGTTTTTCCTATATAAACCAAATAAATGTAAGAATAAAATTACAAATTTAACCTTCCTCCTCTTTTTCTTCCATCATCCTCTAATCACCATTTTTATCCATCATCTCCGATCTTCATCATCCTCCACCTTCATCACCGATCATTCTTCTTCATCATCAATCACCCATCTCTAATCTTCATCACCTTCATCACCGATCATTCTTCTTCTTTTTTTTTCTCTCTAGAACCCAGCTAAATTTTGATTTTTTTTTTTTTTTGATGGATGGATTTGGTGAAATGCTTGAGTTTTCCTGGGATTTGGTTGTTGAATGTGCTTGAATTTTACTGGGATTTGGTTGTTGAATGTGCTTGAATGCTTGAGTTTTGTTGGGATTTGTTCCGTGGGAAATAGATTTAGTGAGAAGAGTAAATTTATAATTTTACTGTTTAAACCAATTTGGGTGTAAAAATGGGTGCCGGTTCATGGGTGTACATATCACTATCCTTTTCCAAGGCTTTTTTTGTTGGCTACAGAAAAGAATTGTAGCATCCATCACATGGGACATTGGACCGACAGATGTTGGGATTGGAAATTCCAGTGGAGAAGACCACTTAGAGCTTGGAAAGAGGAAAATCTTGCTGGAGACAATAAAACACAAAAAACTAGTGCAAGGCGCAAAGGACACTTGGTGCTGGAGTCTAGAGACCAGGGGAAGATATACCACAAGGACAGCTTATGTGCAACTTGCAAAGAAAGAGGAGAATAGGCTGCTAGAGTACACAAAAATATGGGAGACGCAAGTCCCACCAAAAGTGAGTGCTTTCTCATGGCAACTACTCTTAGATAGAATTCCTACAAAGATTAACTTAGCAAAGCGTGGAATTTTGGATGCTAACCGAAATATAAAATGCTTTTGGTGTGATCAACTTCCTAAAGATACAGAACATCTTTTTTTGGCTTGCAACATCTCCTCCAATTTAAGGACAAAATGTCTTAATTGGTGGGGATTATATTATGTCTTAGGGAACACTTGTATCGATGTTTTCACCCAACATAGATGGCACAAGGGCTCAAAGAGTCTAAAAAAGGGATGGAGCATGTTATGGTTTACTGTAGTTTGGTCGTTATGGTTAAGTAGAAATGAAACTGCTTTTCAACATAGGAAGCTAAATAAGGATAGGTTATTTGAACTAGTTCAAGCACACTCATTTCACTGGGTTAGAAATCTATTGAATTTGGAAATTTTTTCTTTCATGGAATGGATTTCTAATCCAATGAGATGCTTGACAAATAGGAAATAGAGACTTGATAGGAGTATTTGGTTTCTGGGTTTGTTTTTTGGATTGTTGGGTGATTTTGTTTTTACCACAATGTCTACATGTAATTTCATATACTGATATCCATGGGTTTGAATACCCCTTGTATTTATAATAAAATTCATTTGCTTTTCAAAAAAAAAAAAAAAGATTTGTGTCTCGCAAGGTCTATTTTGTAAGAATTCCTTATATTTTGTAAATGCATTATAATTTAAGAAAATAATTGATACACACTCTAACTTTAGTTTATTTATTAAATTTCGTAATTAAAATTTTTTTCACTTTAAATTTAAAAAAATTAATTTCTTAATAACTATATTGTAGAATGTGTTGTAATAAAAGATATATTAATTATTATTTTATAATTTACAATGTAATTTTACCATTTGAATTGCGTTAGATGGTAAAACCATAACTATTAAATCCCTACCTCCAAAAACTTCCCCTCTTTGATGGTCGGTTCTTACAATTAATTTAATGCAAATGGACTACACAAAAATAATTTTAATTGAAAAACTATATTTGTTTGAATGAAAAGGTTGTTTGAATCTTCCGTGTGAAAAGACCAAAGATAATATATAATGCTGTTCCTAGTCCACGCAAAAAAATAAAAATAAAATAAAATAACTTTTCTTTTTAATTTTTGCCAAGCCCCACTCAAGAAACATATGTTCATCTTTCTCAATTTCAATTCTTTATATAACTTACATAAGAATCTATTTAAATAAAAGTTAGTAAAGGAAAGGGAATGCAAAAGGAGGAGAAGAGAATGAAGGGAAAAAGATAAAGGGAAAACGATTAATACTAATTTTGTTTAGATAAATTAAAATAGAAGAAGGAGAGGAAGGAAAAGATTTCATTTTTTATTTAATAAAATTAATTAAAAAATTATTGTAAAATTAATTAAAATTTTGTGATTTATTTATTGAAATAAATGAAAAAATAAAAATTTTAATTATATTTTTGAAAAAAATAAAAAGAAAAATGAATATAAATCAAATCCCTTTGGAAATATTATAAACAAATGATTTGAAGGGAATTCGTCACCCTTGCATCTACTTCTCTTTTTTATATAAGCTTACCTAAACAAGAGAAAAATACATCTTCACCTCACTTTCCTCCTCTGCTCCTCCAACTCCCTCAATCCAATTCACCCTAAGAGAACAGCACAAGAAAATGGTATATTTTTGCAGGATAATAATTAATATATCATCTAATTTAACATATCCTCAATCCAATTTGTCATTCATATATATATATA